TAGGCGTTACGAAATGTTGAAAAATTAGTCAATCAAAAAAAAATTCCACATGATACAAAATGTAAATGTAATATGCATTTATTTTTTTAATTTTCTTGGTAACGAAAAGTATATTCTCACAGAAGTTTCAAATAAAAACACTAATGCACTGCTTAGTAGCAAATGATCACATAACGGTAGCTCGATCCGGCCATGCTGCGGGTCACAAGTGAATAACTTACTTGTTTTCGAAGTGTTGATATTGGTGATTATTATTTAGTAGTGATTACAATAACGCACGAAAAATAAATTCGTTGAATTGTTATAAAATGCAAGTAAAATTCAACTTAGTTTCCCCGTAAGCGAATGATTTCAGTCACATGTAAACAGCCGATGTGATGTCCGCCATGTTTTTGAATGCTCACGTAATTAGTTTTCAGCTAAGTAATTTCAAATTATATTTAATGTGTCTCCAATACTCTCAGCACATGGGAGTTCTTTCTAAGCTTTCTTTGATTTTTAGCTCTGCTGTTGATTTTGTTGTTCATTTTCTAATATCTTCAGTTCTTTAATTAGTCCCTGTTCGTACGAAGTCCGAAAACGGGGACTTATAATTCGGCGTGCGTCTGTGCGTCCCTCCGGAGTCGTATCTCAGAATCCCTTGGACCGATTCCGTCCATTCTTTGCACGTGTCTAGTACTTTATCTGGGACATATGCACATGCAGTGGTTTAGCGATTCGATTCAAAATGGCCGACTGGCAGCCATCTTGTTTTTTGAAAATGTTGTTTTGGACATGCTTTGTCAGTTTTCATTCAAATTTAGTACATCAATCATACATGTTAGGTTACATGTCCATGACAATTTATTTCGCAATTGGATCAAAGATGACCGACTGGCAGCCATCTTGTTTTTTGAAAATGTCGTGTTTTGGACATGCTTTGTCAGTTTTCATTCAAATTTAGTACATCAATCATACATGTTAGGTTACATGTCCATGACAATTTATTTCGCAATTTGATCAAAGATGGTCGACTGGCAGGCATCTTGTTTTTGTTTTTTTATGCGATATCTTGGAAGTGCTCTGTCAGTTTTCATTCAAATTTGGCACATACATGTACTTTATACATGTTAGGATGCATGTCCATGACAATTTGTTTCAAAATCTGGTCAAGGATGGCTGATTGACAGCAATCTGACTTTTTGGCCTTACTACTATATTTCCAAAATTTATGTACCATTTTCATTCGTATTTGGCACATGCATCATACATATCAGTGTGTTTCATAATCAGATCAAAGATTTCCAAATATTTTTGGCCATATTACTACTACACGGAACAGGTGTTTTGATGTAAATAAACAATCTGTTGTATACG